ATTTATTAAACCTTCAGTTGGTACACTGATTTCTGTGTCCTGATATTTGAATCCACTTAATCGTCATAATTGTCATTTAGTCTATGCTACTGTATCTATTTATTTGATAAAATATTGTTTTCTATAATTATGATCAGGAGGATTATCTACAATTAGTCACTTCATATTGTAATTTATGTAAGTGTTATGTACCGATGCACTAGCTACTTCAAATACTTCTAAATTGAGAGAACTTTTAAGAGCTTGATGACAAATCAGGAGAGGTTGTAGTAGGCAACCTCATGTATGAAAAACAAATAGTTATTCTTGACCTTCATATACTAGATGTAGCGAACTTGTATGAATAAATTGCAACTTTTTTGTTATGATTGGAACAAAACATTGCAAGTAAGCCAAAACAATGTCATAGTGATGCATTTTACAACACTCCGTACTTGTTTTATGTGACAAAGATTTCCTATTACTTTTTTGAATATTAGCAAAACTACTCATTGTAAAGTCCACTTCTAGTATATGAAGGTCAAGAATAACTATTTGTTTTTCATACATGAGGTTGCCGACTACAACCTCTACTGATTTGTCATCAAGCTCTTAAAAGTTCTCTCAATTTAGAAGTATTTGAAGTAGCTAGTGCATCGGTACATAAAACTTACATCAATTACAATATGAAGTGACTAATTGTAGATAATCCGCCTGATCATAATTATAGAAAACAATATTTTATCAAATAAATAGATACAGTAGCATAGACTAAATGACAAATTATGACGATTAAGTGGATTCAAATATCAGGACACAGAAATCAGTGTACCAACTGAAGGTTTAATAAATATTAGGAGCATCCTTAGTAACGGAGACATTTAACTGCAAGCCTGTAAACACCAAGCTGAACTTATTTTTATATTTTTCTCTAGTAGTCAACTTTCATTTCATGTTGATGGACTCAGTATTGAAAAATTAATAGATGGAAACGAATTCGTCACACTGGAAAACTTATCATATGATTTTGATTACTGAGATTAATAGAAATATCACTTCTTGAAACTTGTTCAAGTATTTTTCAATGAAACTAGAGTGGTTAACATCTATAGCTAGTGCCACGATTCTCTTTTATGCCATTATTCTCTTCATATCATTACCTGACTTCGTGAAGTGAAGCATTTGTTTGTGTGAGAAATTTTAGCCCAGACACATAAAAGGCAATGACGTTAAGCATATAACATAATCATATTTTATTTTGACATTGTCTTGAAGCGCTATGCCATATAAGCATATGAAAATTATTTAGACATCTTCGAATATTAATCGCTTACTATATACAATAGAGGCATATTGGATAGATATATTTTATTTTGTATAACTTTATTGAAAGTCAAAACGAAAAAGTTTATTTTTAAAAAAACGATAAATCTTATGACTAAAACCAATATGAGCAATAACAAAGTTATTTGATTACTTTTTCTGATCATATTAACAACCAAACAAAGAAAAATTCTTCTTCATATTCCATACAAAACTTTCAGTTGATGAATAATTTTTTTTCTATTATTTTGAACTTAGCCAAGAGCAAATATATGCAACTATGAACTCGATGGCAAAGTTCGAGTGGTAACCGAAGAAAAAAACTTTACAAATATTAAAACTTATAATAAAAAGTATGTTCAAGCTAGATCTATCATCATCAAAAACTATTTCAAAGTACGCTAGTAATGATATTAGCATTGAATAGAACTGTTCAACAATGATAAGAAAATAAAAACAAAATTAGTCGTTGCAGTTAACTTTTTGTCTTGTTAAGATAAAGGATAATTCTATTTGATAATGCATTGCTTCTTTTTTCGAATACTTTGACCTCATCGTCACATAGATTTTCTACCAATCGTTTTTCAATCTTCATGCTACTTTCAAAATACTATCGAGGTCATTCTATATGCATAATGGTCTAGCGTATTTTAATTTCCATGGCCAAAACAAGGAGCACATGCACCAATATTATTCCATAAATAGAAATAGAAATATCAAGAGAGAGAGAGAGAGAGAGAGAGAGAGAGAGAAACCCATATATAAACTGAATCACATTGTTCAAATTCATTACAATACTAGATTGATTGCATTATTTATTTCAAACTGGCACTAAAATAGGAATCACAATGAGCCAAGATACGGAATATTTTATCAAAGATGATGTTGGTAAGTATATTGTTCTTTATCTCGCTATCTAAAGTAAAGTTCTGCAATTTTAAGCAATCATTTTCTTTTTATTAGAATTAGATTCATTTACTCTATTATCAATCGAGCCATTGCGTCCTAATGTAACTTGTCTACTTGATTTATCAGATAAAATTTTACTTCATATTTGTCGTTATCTGACACCAATTCATATTTTACATTCATTTTATACACCTAAAATGCCTAATAGACGTCTTCATCGTCTAATAATTAATTATTATGCAACGATTAAACTTGATCAAACAACGTATGATGAATATATATATTTGGCAAGCTTATTCTCTCGTTCAAATTATCCTCTTCGACCTGAATCACTGATATTGAGTAATGAACATGTAACTTGTGTAACTCAACAGTACTTTAATTATATGTATACTGATAAAATTCAATCGATATTTGTCAATTTAAAAAGTTTTACATTAATCGATTGTTTTTCAACTGATCTTAATTATATTGTTCTACAATATATAGAGGATTTAACACGACTTGAATATCTTCATATTACTGCTCGTAAGCTTGTCGATGATTTTAGTAAGTCTATTTAAAGAATTTCTATAATCGCTAAATTTTACCAAGCTGAATATTCGTTTAACACAATTCACTAACTAGAAAATGTTTTCAACTGATCAATCACTTTTGAATTCGGATTCTGTGTATAAGATAAACTTCAGTAAGATATGAACAACGTCAAAAGGATAAGTTTCATAAGGCCTTCTGCCCAGAGTGATAGGCATTTTACTAGAATTTTAGTCTATGAAATGGTATATACCAACAAATTGAATGATGATATTGCGATCTGGGATTTTACCAACAAGCTGACCGATTGATCAGTCGAATGCTCTGAAAATTTCAGCTCAAAAGAATAATTTAAATATCTCGAGAAGGAAACATTTTTTACACTAAAATTTCCAGAGCATTCTACAGACAAATAGGTCTGTCTGTGAGCAAAATCTCAAATCGGAATATCATCATTTGATTTATTGGTGTAAATCATGCCAGAGACTAAAGTTCTAGTAAAATGTCTAGCACTCTGAGCAGAAAACATAAGGAGATTTATCCTTTTGAGATTTTTTATATCTTACGGATGTTTAGCTTATGCACATAAATCTCAAGTCAAAAGCGATTGATTCGTTGAAAACGTTCCCTCGTAAGAAGCTTTTTCATACTGGTACATCTTTGGAGGTCTCGAAAAAGTACTAAAACTCATAGAAATTCGAAACTCTTTCGAATAATTGAAATATAATGAAGCAAGTAAAAGAGCTTTTTTTCATTTATAGTTAATGAAACACAGGATATGTCGATTGGTGTTTTATTGTTCCATGGACTACTATCTGCTCTGCATACAGTTCACATTGAATTACCTAATGGACTTTTATTATACGAATCATTAAGTCCTCATCAAACTCTTCGTCATGTTCACATGACTTTACAAACAATCGATGACTTATATATATTGCTTAATGGACTTGTACCAAATGTTGAAACAATGATTGTTGAATTGCGTCAAGCACGGTTGCTAAGTTAGTATTTATCTTATTACCGACGGTTATACATTTCCAAAACTAAAGTAGAAAGAAGAAGATGAAGATTGAACTGTTCTGAAACATTTTGAAGGCTGTAAGAAAGATATGAATAATGTATTGAATCAGCTTTTTTTGGTTTTTAAAGGTGAAAATGTACGAAAACGATGTTTTTAAACTGATCATTTTGCTCTTGTTTTCAGTTTTATTAACTCTGACATGACCATCTGAGGTTCGCGTGATAAAACCGCTTATCCTAAACACAGTGTTGAAGAAAACTCTTCGTCCCTGTCGATCTCGACCACTGTATGTGCTAGAAACGTGAAAATTTTATGTACCCATTCTTCACTAAGAATATAGACCGTTGACATTGTGGTGCCGATATTGCTTAACTAAAAAGAGAATTATGATGGACAGCATCTATCTTTTGCTCTGAGTATTATAATTTAAAAATGGCTGCCTACAAAATTTTGCATTGTTTATTACTATATCTAACTGTAAAGAAAACTTCTCAAAAAGTTTGAACCCGTTTCACTGAATTGTCACTGAGTTATTGACTTCTAAAAGATAGTAGATGGTTTCTCCATCTACAGCAATAATCACAGTAAAATGACTATATTCTTCGAAAGAATTGATAAACTTCAATGACATTAGTAATATATGTAGTTGAGACATAGCATTACATATTAATGAGTCGACTGACACAGAATAATCTTCCATTCAAGAGTTATGAGACTGACAATAAGAATAGTTGTCATGCATCATAATTCTCTTTGTAAAATAAGCAATAGTAGCACCACAATGTAAAAGACCTACATTCTTATTAAAGTGCACGTGTGCCCAAATTTTCAGATCTTCAATACATACAATGGTCGAGATTAGTTGATTCGGAGACTTTCGCCCACTATTGTATATATTCTAGTAAAGACTAGTAGAGTATGCTGATAATATCTGCCAGTTACGTGAACCCACTATTAATATAAGTAGGCTGTCCCGAAGTATATGTGAAAACTTGTTGACTACTTGGAAATCGCTCGAAGTTCAGAGTAATTCATGGTTACATTATGCATTCGTAACATTTAATCGGATCATGTCTTTTTAGGTATGAATTTGAGATACTTAGCACAGTACATTGATATCATAAATCAATCATACGCAACTGTTCTTTTCATATAGAGTAGTTCAGAGTATATGTGAAGACTAAATAGTAATGCATGATTTCAAATGCTTCGAAAAAAAGAAAATGATGAGACCGCCAAAAAAAGCTAGACAAATATAATTTCAACCAACTACTTTTGTATTTGTTCTTTTTGTAATCAAGTTTTTCACATATTCATGATAAACTAGTAACAAATTTGTATGCTATATTTATGTTACCTGGTGGAGTTTACACAGACCCCAGATGAACAACAAACGATAGTCCTAAAAAAGTGTTCGTGTTATACTTAATCTTATTTTGTTTTCCTCTGTAAAATTTCAGCCTGTCTTCGCCCTCAATGCACATCATCATGTCCTCGATTAACTGAATTTACTCTATTAGAACCTCGTGTTGCATTAGTTATTGATGATATTAAATGTATTTTTGGTTGCATGCCTGCCCTTCGTAAATTAACATTAAGTATTCGTGATACACATGATCCAATATTTTGTCATGGTCCTGCATTTGAATCAATGTTAAAGAAATATTTTCCATATCTTTGTCAATTTGATTATACAATGACACATCGAATTATTGATAAAACATTTATTGAAGATTTTATTCAATGGCCGATGAATGTTGTATTTTATGAAAATGAAAATTCTAAATGGGTACATATTTTTTCAGTACCATGGCCATCAAATAAAAATGATAAACGACAATTACCTATTGTTAATAGGGGATGTAATACATCAGTTCTACCAAGTGTTAAACGAGATGAGCATATGAATCATGTTAAGATTACAATGAAAAATGATTTATATCAGTTAGATAAACGATTTTTTCGAGCTTATCAACTTACAACTTTTTTAACAATTGATATAATATTACCACAACGAATTTCAAAATTAATTCTTACTAAAGAAACACGTACGTATATCTTGTATAAGAAAAATCAATCTTCTTACTATTTTGTTTTTGTTATAGCTATTAGTGTGATGAAATCAATAGTTCAACCTAATATTCGTCATCTTATTGTTCAACGTCGTTTGATTGATGAAACAGAAATTTCGATTCTCGCTCATCAATTTCCTAATGTTGAATATTTACAATTATTATTTCCATTGAATAGAAAATTATTTGTTCGTTGTTTTCAAACTTTATTTAGTGATGATGGTACTATAGATAAGAAATTTCGTTATTGGTGTTATTTGGTTAATTTTTGTACAACATTTATGTTTATACAATCAAATCAAATCTACAGCGACAATAATCTTCATCATTGGCTTATTGAAAATACTGATTTAAAATACCATAAACTTCGATTTTATGCAAGTTGTTGTGACTCAATGTTCTCTATTTGGCTTTGATTGTTTCAATAATATAAAGGACTTGTTTCTCATGTTTAAAGATAGACTCAATAAAAAAAAGATTCATTACAATTTGAAAACTAATTTGTTGTCTTGCCTTTAACATGAATCGAGAGAATTTTGATATTATCACGATTGACTCAATTCTATCGTTAAATGATCTCTCAATAATTTGTATTTTGAAATATTCATTTACACGTCATTTTGGACAATCCCACTCCGTTTCAGTTCCATTACGATGATTTCTCATTTGATTCCATTCCAATTGATTCTCATTTCGTTCTTCTTTTAGTTCAGTCATAACTCATCACATTGAAAGGAGATAACAAGCTTTAGTTTATCTTCAAGATTAGTCATGTACAGAACTTATTCTCGAATTTTTATTAGTTGAATAGAAGTTATAATAATTTGATTTAAACCAAATGACGTAAAAGCAATCATTGTTATGGTACACACATTGAATATATCACTAAGATGTTTCATCTTTATCATTTGAATCTGCTGTACAAATATCTTTCATTTATATCTGCATATAACTCATAGTTGATCGAGCAACATTTTAATCAAACATTCATTTAGCATTTGGATTAGAACAATAATCAAAGTAATTGATATAACGATGACTCATAAGTATTGTTCGTATGTGATGTTGATGAAGATAAATTGGTCGATGACATTAGATTGAGTTTTATGAATATTGAACCTATGTCATATAATGATGGATAGTAAAAGAAAAAAAAAGACTACTTTTTATATCTATCAGTTAAAGATAAATGGACAGGGCAAAACTACTTTAAGTGCGACTGATGTTTAATGATAGTAATTTATTTTATATATGAATCAGTGAATGAATGAGAAACATTTTGTTTGTTTATTTAACTTAAAAGCATTTTAACTAAAGTTCATTTATTGCTACAGCTAGTTTAACTTTTCTGTCGTAATCCATTCATTTCTTGTTCTCATATGAATCAATTTGATTAGATCGTGTCTTACTTAACACCTTAATATGTTCATCCAGCGTCTAAAATTAAAATAAATAGATTAAACGAGCTTTCTCGACATTTATTCAGTTAAGAAAAAGTTAAATTATATTATGAAAATGTGTACTCAATTCTATTAGATTATGCCATACAGAGAAATAAATAACATCGTTTTTATTGCATCAAACAAAAACGTTATTTGGATACGTCACCAAATGGAAACGAATAGAAATCCTTATGAAATATACAACCATTAAGGCATTCATATGATGCCACTGAAAAAACATGATTTCGTATTTATAGGAAAAAAAACATGATGCAAGAGAGAGACAAGAACATGAGGTGAACATTCGTTTTCTCTTATCGTAGAGGCTTACTATAAAGAGCATCCGCTCAAAAATCGACTTTTTCAACCGCGCTCTCCATTCATTCTGGACTTGTCTATCCTTTCTTTCTGTTCTACCATCACGCCGTCTACTAGACGCCTGGTTTAAAAAACTTTCTGAAAAATACCAAGCGGTTCAATTATACCACTGTTTGCTATTGAATAATATGTCATTAACTAAGTGTGTCAAAGAAAGAAATGAAATAGGTATCAAGATGAAACACATTCATAACGAATCTCGTTAGAATTTAACAGGATCGTTTTTACTAGATTTTAACGCTTTCGGACAATCGAATATTTCTAAAAAGGGAATCATTGAAGAGTGTATCTTTTAATATCGATGGTATTAGATATAATAATGTTGGTTTTACTGTGAACAAACCGGTACTGAAAAATGTATTACATGAAACTCATAATTAATGAGGAATGACAAAAATCAGAATAGTTGGAAAACACTAGACTTTGTTGAAACATGATCAATCAAGAGATAATCAAGTCGAATATATTTGTTTTCAGCATTAATACCAACTTTGTAGATGATGGTAGCTTTCTGTAAATGTCTTGATTTTTTCTATCATACGAGCAACTGATACATCTTTCATAGTCGTCATTCATTTATGAATGAGACATCATGAAATTCTACAAAGATTTCCTTTTAAGAATGCTGTCGAAACGCAAATGACTTCGAAATATTGCGAAAAATGCATAAAAAGGTAACAACAAAAGATGTAGCAACCACCCATACGTCCATATCTGCTTGATTTCTTCCCTTCTCCTTTTCTCTGGATGTGCCTGCGTAACATTCTATATCAAGATTTGGTGTGACAAGTGGCCCGGTACTAAGCAAAAAGAGTGGGAATTTTACGCAAATTTTTCTCTATAAAAATTATTTACAACCAAAAGTCGTTGCTTTCTCTAGTAAACTTTGTTGACTAGTTCTTAATGTATTTAAATTTAAATCTACAAAAATTACATTCCAGATATGAAAGAACAAAAGTTAGATTTACCCACTTATTGATTCATTTGATATTTTTCATTATTTTAAGTACTTCTTTCTCCATTGTTTCTTGATACAAATCAAAATTTCATCTTTTTTTTTCTTAAAAAATCTAAACAAATAAGAAATAGTAATTCTTACGTGTCATTCGATAAATTAAAAACAATGGTTATGTATTAAGTTGGCTTGTAATCGTCGGTATATACGCTTTGTTTGAGTTTTCATTGTAACGAGAACTGGTTTTCTTGCTAGTAATAAACGAACAGTCGGTTCTCTTGAGATTATTTTAACAAATCTAATTAAATAGTCTTGTACATGAGAAAATACCGAGAGAAAGAAAAATGAATTTTCATTTAAAAGAAATATATCTAAACCGATTGTTTTCCTCTACATTCTTATTCGTACCAAAATAACCCAGGTGTCCAAAATGGAACAAACCTCAACAGGTATTGAAGTTAATTCGAAATAAGCAGTAAATTCTTCATTTTTTTCAAGCAGTATCACTCTATTTTTAACTCTATGCTTGAAATAATAAAAAGTATATTAACTGTCATATTCTGGTTCCTAACATTCGACTCTGTTGTATCCTTGAAAGATGAAAGTTAAAATAATATTTAATATTGAAAATAATGTTTTCTTACCCTGCTATTATCGATTAAACGAAAAACATGATAAAGTAAAACACGATGCGTGAAAATAACTAATTTAGAAAATTTTTTATCTTGAAGCATTTCTTTGTAAAATTTTAGCATGTGACTGTGGTTGTGAGTGTACACGAACAGAAACCAATACCCACATGCACACCCCTTAAAATGAAGATGGACGATTATTGGACCATATTTTTGTCTTGTCTGAAAATTATTATGAGCCAACTGCATGTTTTTGTTCTTATCTGAGAAATTGTATTTTTTTCTCAAAACTTATGTGAGTACAATTCCCAGGTATGTGAAATTTATAGAAAACGCCTTGCTGAACATCTTTTAAATAGCATATATGAATATTTTCAAAACTGACATGTCAAGAACTTGGAACTGGATATAAGTGCCTGCATATCATATGAACTGTGATTGGTTGTGAATAGAACGTTGAACGGATGTTCTTGATAATCAAATCAATTCTTAAACAAACGCTTTTTGTTCTGCACTATATCAAAACAATAGTGAATCAGAGTTGTAACCGGTAATGGTAAACA